GACCTGCTGGAGACGCTCTTCTTAACGCACCCCAGGATCCCATTGGCCTTCTTGGCCACGAGGGCACACTGCTGCCTCATGGTCAACTTGTCGTCCACCATGACACCCAGGTCTCTTTCTGCAGAGCTGCTCTCCACAAGCTCGGTCCCCAGCCTGTACTGGTGTCTGGGGTTATTCCTCCCCAGGTGCAGGACCTTGCACTTGGCCTTGTTGAATTGCATGAGGTTTTTCACCGCCCAGTTGTCCAGTCTGTCCAGGTCCCTCTGGATGGCAGCGCAGCCCTCTGGGGTATCAGCTACTCCTCCCAGTTTGGTATCATCAGCAAACTTGCTGAGGGAGCACTCCGTGCCTTCATCCAGGTCATTAAGGACACTAAGGCTCTCTATCTCTCAACTTTGTTTTGTGCTTGTCCAGCTGTTGATCCTAACCCATTTTTTCCTGCTAAATTCCTTAGAAAGCACACCCAATATTTTTTGACATCACGCATAAGGTCTCCTTCCTGGATGAACCAGCTCCTGTATTTTCCTCTGTTCATGCTCCAAGCATATTGTCTCCTCATGCAAATGGAACTATCAATCAAATGGCAAAAACATTATAAAATAGTGCTCAACTGTCTTAAAGAGTTGGATTATTATTCCAAATCAGATGCCTCATCTCATTTCCCCTTTAATCAGATAGCAAAGACTTAGCAGTGACTTTGCTTTTGAGTGCACTATATTAATTTGTTGGATAATTTTTGTCGACGACACATTTATTGCAAAAAATCCATAAAGAAGCAACACAAGTTTCCTTTTCTGAAATAGATTTAAGTCATTATAAGTAAGGGGTGACAGTGCTATGCCTAATTATGCAGCAAAATATGAGCAAAAATATGAAAGTGTGAGTGGTTTATAACCTCTCTGTTCAGCCCAAAGGCCCAAAGAGGGATCACAGCTATCACAGAACTATTGCTCATTGAACAGAACTGGCCCCTCAGCCAGTCTGGGTTATTTTCATACTCTCCTAGGAAGAGAAGCAAACGTGTTTGTGTATAAGTATGTGTGTTTATATATTTTTTAATATATGTATGTATGAATTTATAAATAAAATCCACTCTAGAGTCCTTTGCTGAGGGGCAAAGCCTCACTGTTCTAGGAATACCCTTTGTATGTTTTGGAAAAAGTATTCATGATTTTATGATTTTGTAGTTATGATTTTAATTATTTCCAATATTTCCAGAAATATTCCACATTTTATTTTCTCTGTGGCTTGCCTGACATTGAATGTAGCATGGCTTTGTTAATGAGATAAGTCATACTGAGTAGAATTATAAGGATCCAAATTCTGTGCAGGAAGTTTCAGTGAAATCAAAATATTGTTTTTGTGTATTATGGATATTTCTCCAGACATATCATATGACAGGGCAAAATTTAGATGAGTACTGCTGTCCTTGCTGCAGACTTTCATTTCTGTGCAAAGTAAAAGCCCCTCTACCTGGAGCATTGGGAGATTGGGTCCCCTGTGTGTCAGCCTGCCCACAGTTTGATCTTCTGTTTAATGGCTTGAAAACTGTGTTATTAGGTTGCTATGTCCTGGGCTGTGGTATCCTCACTATTGCCTTTTTGTACAACGATCTGCTTTTGATCTGCTTTCATTAAAACATTTCATTTACTGGTACATTTCTGATAAATAGATAAGTAACATTTTTTTAGATGTCAGCACCATTAACAGAAGAAATTATCATTAAACAAATGTCTTGTCGTAAGAGCTAAAAGCTGAGATGGTAATAAACAACAGGAAGCACTTTCAGCGTTTCAGTAGTTCTGTTTCTACAGTGACAATTAATACTTGGCAATAATGGCACTTTTAGGGGGATGGCAAATGTCCATCACTATATTGCTCAACAGAAGAAATGTGTGGACAAGGGTAAAAATTTGATACTATGATAGATGAATCTCAAGAAAAGAGTAGAAGAGACGTATAGGTGAGATGGAGATAATAATAACTTAGATGATAAGTTTAGTACTGAAGAAAATTCTCTTTTCACCTGACCTATTCTTACCCTATTCTCGGAGTTTTCTTAAGTAACCATGCACTATAGTGACTGCAGAAAGGTCATCAAACAGAGGGGAACCAGGAGGTCCCTTTGCTTTAACTTACTGAAGGCTCTAATGTATGGAAAAGCATGGAAAACACTTCTCATATCAGCCATTGACTATTTACTTTTATAAGCTATTATAATGAGATATCAATGTAGTATAATGCTTTCTAGTAACAAAGCAGAATCCGATCAGATAAAAATTCACATGTAACTATTATTCCTCTCTGTTGGGTTTCTGCACCTGTGGTTTCCTGTTGAAAAAAAAAAAAAGCAGCACTGTAAATGACATTTTTGGTGCTTCATTTGCTTTGTTTTTCTTGCCTGGCATAGGCAATCTTTACTGAAGCGTTTTTTCAGAATCTACTTAGTTGATAGTCTAGAGGAACAAATATTTGTGATTTGATAAGTGAAATACAGAAGAGCAACACTGAAATCATTAAGAACAGAAAAAAATGTGTAAGAGCATACTGGTCTTTTTGCATATAATTTTAAAGAAATTCTACATATATAATTTTAATAAATTAAATCACCGATATGTTTTTGCTAGTAAGGAGTAAAATAAGAGCTCACTGTTTAAAACAAAATTCGGATGAGTCAAGTATGTTTACAGGAGACCAAGCAAGAACCCAACAATTAAAGTTTTTCCTGTTTACCTCTAAGAAAACAACCCCTACCTGTGTGAATTAGCTGCTTTTACCCTCCAGTGTCCCAAAACCTTCCATCTGAAACCTGTCCTTTTCTGTCTTCCCCTTTTTACTCTTCTTTGTCTGCACTGTTTATCCATCCACTGGCTGACAGTGTCTTTACATCCAAAATGCAAAGCAGACAGATGGGCGCCTCAGGAAAGAACATGACCAAGAGCACCAGCATCGGCGGGGACATGTACACGCTGGACAAGAACGACGGCAGCCAGTCGGACACCGCGGTGGGCACCGTCGGCGGCGGCGGAAAGAAGGGGCGCTCCAGCATCGGCGCCAAGATGGTGGCCATCGTGGGTCTCTCGCGGAAGAGCCGCAGCACGTCCCAGCTCAGCCAAACCGGTAGGAACTGGATTCTTTTCCCTCTTGAATTAGGGTGTAAATGGGTGTCTCATGCGGGTGTTGCAGCCGAACTGTTTGGATATGCTGCTGACGTTGCCTCATTGACAATATTCTAGGGAGAGAAGAAATTGGTCAAAACTCTTGATTATCTGGACACTTACTGAACTTATCTTTTTAGCAAATATCCTTTTCAGGTTGGACTGAGGCTTGTTTTTTTCGCCTTGCTAGAACCGACTTGCTGTAATAATTCTTTGCTTCTCAGGAACCAGCGTGAGCTGCTCTACTGATGTTTTGGTGAATTCTCTTTCATAGTTGGTGAAGAATGGCTAAACTGCAGTTGCAAAATTCCTTCTCTTTGCTTATGAATAGTGCTTGCATATTTCAATGTTTTTTTCCTCATATTTCAACATGGACCATTTATTTTGAAACAAAACAGTTTTCATGAACAAGATTGTGTATGCATTTTGCTGCATTAATACAACCATTTTATTGCTTTTTAATTCCTTTCTTTTCAGCCTACAACCATATTTACCACCCGTAATGATCTTCATCATTTCCAGTTATGTCAGTTAAAATTTGTTACTGAAATATTCTAACTTGGAAAAATGGCCAGACTTTTCTGTGTTGACACTCAAAACATTTAAAATCCTATACACTTTTTTTATTTCTCCAATTTCAGGGAAAATCCATATAATGCACTCTGAAAAATGATAAATGAAACAATGCTCTCATTGTCAATTAAGGAAGCTGTGTAGAACTAGTGTACTTTATGTGGAAAAGGATCACTTGTATTAAAATTGTTTTATATGAGTACATAAATAAGCCATTTATATAGGTATTCACATAGATATGTTTATATATTTAAAATTATATAAACCTGAGATACGTTATATACTTAGTATCTCAGCAAAACAGGTGTGATATTTTTGTATGGTTCAACATCAGTTTACTAATAATGTTTAACAGTATGTGGTCTTATCTGAAAGCCCCTTAGTGCTAAATACTCTTCAAGTGTTGTTAAGAGAATTTTTGCTTCTTTGAAAAATTTGCAGTTTATATGATGAAACTGAAGTGCTGAGAGGTTTAACGTTCAAGTAACATTGAACAAGTACTCAAGTAACAGCAAAATGTTCATGTAAATGTTTAATGTTGAACAAGTACTCAAGTAACAGCAAAAGAATGACTTGGAATGTCAAAAATTATGGTAACTTTAAAAAGTGAAATTTGTAAGAGCAGGGTTTAAAAACTTGGAAAGAGTAAAAGGGAGAAAGCGGGGACACTGAAGGGAGGAATAAGAAAAAGATGAAGAAGAAGGGGGAGCACAGAAAGAGAGCAGGGAGCTCTGAACATGCATCTTAACACCGAGAAAGGAGGGAAGGATGAAACCTAGGGAAAAGAATACACATCATGCAAGCTCTGAAGGTCATCAGTATGACACCGTTAGGAGACAGGAATACATATTCCTGTCTTAGCTGTCTTACCAGTTCAGTTGCTGATTATGGAAAAGGCAATTTCATGCATGTATTTTCTCCAAGATCAAACTAATGGGGGGAAAGACAAAGCAATCTTTATACAGATCTGGGAAATGTCTAGAAAAAAATCTAGCCTCATAACTTACTTAGAATCTATTATTTTTGCTTGCATGACAGTAAACAGATATGCAACCCTATGAACTGTATCACACAGATAGCTGTTGATATGTCAGTCATAATGCACTACATTACTCGTTCTGATCTAATCTGGACTTAATGTAAGAGATGTGAAATGAATTCAAAAAGGATGATAGTTCTTTGTGTGCTTTTCACCAATAAGTTTCTCAGCACTAAAGGGAATCTATATCACCGTGTGACTTGCTTAGAGTTGATTTAAATATCATGTTGCATTAGTAGTTTAGGATGATGCTTTTAATCTGAATTTCTGTCTCGCTCTTATATCCACTCAGCTGGATATCTGGATATACCCAGTTATGGAGAAGTGTAGAATGCAAGTCTTTCAAAATTGCGGAAGTTCTCTTGACCCCTTCACTATGAAATGAGTGTTTTGAAAAGCTCATGAAAACAGTACTGTATTTTGGTCTGTTGAAGCTGAAGCAGAGATCTGCATGGCTTTAGCAGGCTGTTCTCCCTCTGCTCCTCCTCGGGAGAGATCGGCACTGAGCAAAGTCCTGCTGCCATTAGGACTTTTCCCAAA